TTTATTTTTTATGAATAAGGCCAAAGTATTGTAAAGACTTATTAAGAAAATAATTCAAATTAGTTCTACTTATAAGATGTAGTAACAAAGAAAAATTACTGGGAAGTTAAAAAACGTCATTTTTTACACAAAACACGTCCAAACGTCAACAGGGTACAAAAAACGTCCAAATGACGTTAAAAACGTCAACCTGGCAACGCTGTGTCAAACATTCTTTAAACCTACTTTTCCCATTTCGCCATACACCATGCAAACATGACTCGTTCAAGCAAAGAATTTTGGTTTTCTTCCGGTTCACAATGTAAAAGAGTTTGGTTTTCTTCGATTTTTCTCTCTTGCGTCCTCATTCGGTAAAAATTCCGTTGCGAATGAGGCGATTTTATCATACACAACGTAAGCGGTTTGATCAAACGTCAAGAAAGAGAATACAAAAATTTTGATTATTGTTCACGGCTTGTCAAACCTTCAAAGGAAAGGGATATTTCGCTTGGTTTGTCAAGCCGCTTGTGTGGTATTTTTCGCTCTTAAGCACATCTGCATTTGCTGCTAAATACTCAAAATGTTATCGATAATTTTTTTCATTCCATCGTTATATTTTCAACTTATTTTAAACTTGCAAAATCTCGGAGAACACGCATTGTTCGATCATAAGGATATTCATATTGATTCCTCATTAGAAAATTGTAGGAAAAGTTTCTGAATTAAAAGATTCTTCAGGTTCATATAAGTTTCCCAATTAAAAAAAAAAAATTATAGCTGCATTACTAATATAGCCTTTTTCTAATGCTTCAGTAGAACGTATATTTAGTAGTTTGAAAATGTGTACGACTGACTTGAGGACCAGATTGAGCACTAATATAGTTGCAACAATATTATATACAAACCAAGGAATAAAAAATAACGGTGATACTTTGTTTGAACCGCAAGAACAAATGTACCTGTACCTAAGTACCTGTAAATAGTATGCAGTACACAATATATCTGTTATAAGAAAATTTTGAGTAATTTGATCGGATTTTGAGAATTTTTCTTTTGTTTTTGAGGAATTTGGTAATTGTTTTGTGGCAACACTGCAAATTAGGTATGCATACGAGTATAAAAAAAATTACAAGCTACTTAAGAACAAAACTAGTATTCAACCAAAAAATGAGAAATTATGAAACTTAATTGTGACTTATTAACAGTGCTGTTAAGCAACATATAAAGTACAGTACTCCGTACTGTTAAGGTCTTTAGCGGTATTCACTTGGGGTTTTTGTTAGTTAATTTGAGAAAATCTTTGAAATTGTATATATGACTAAGCGCATTTTAAAAGTTTATCTTGTTTTACATTTAGTTTCAAGGATTTTTAACAAATTTAAACGCTTTTTTCCGGTGTTCCGCCTTTTTTTCTATCCATATATGTAGGTCTACGCGTTTTAACAGAGCGCACTCTTTTCACATACACTGAGGCAGTATTACTTATTTTTTGTAACTTCTTTTAGTACAGTTTAAGGTAGTTTAAGATTAGGTTTACAATTTTCGTTACGTAATTAGATTTAAGCATTTTTTTTCTTATTTGGCACTACGTTTTCAGTCTTCTTCACAAGCTTGACTCATTGCCTCGTAAGAGGGAACGTTCGAATTATTATAGTAGGTTGATTAATTCAATATTCCCAGTTTCACAAACAACATTAGGTTGTTTCCTTGCGCATATCGGCAACTTTGATGAGGAGGATGCTGAGAAAATCGGTGGTTGATGGACTCAGCCGTGCCCACCACTCTGTACCCTCCAAATCACCGAGTTGGAATCGTTGGTGTGAGTTTTTTTAATTTCTTTTTGTATTTGAAGGATATACTCCTATTTCGTTTCTTATTTTACTTCGCTAATATGATCTAAATAAAATAAGCAAAAGTAGATAGGTGTCAGCAGGTGGCAAACAGAACACGTGTTTAAGTAGTATGTTACTTACTGTAGAAAATCTGCAACTCGTTTATTACTACGAATTTTGATCTGTACGTCTCGAAAACCAAAATAGAAAGAAAGAATTATGTGGCGGAAGCAATTGCCTATCACCCAAAATACTAAAATCCTACTCTGTTAATCTTTAACAGCGCTCTATTAGGCTGACAGTTTGAGATAATCTACTACTTACTTACTACTGATTTATTAATTTCCTATTAAGGTGTATCCGACTACTCAACCGGTTCATAACCTAAAAAGGGGTTACTGAATTAATTCCTCACGAAGTTATTAGATATATAGCAGGTCTACAGGCAACCTAACACATGATCTTTCCTCTTCTTCTAGAAAGTGCACGGCATTCGCATAACAGGTGCCGCAGCTTCTGCAGAAGTCGTTGTGGGGACCCCTACCCTCATCGCTTGCCTTCCGATGGCAAGATGTCCTATTAGCAGACCCACAGCTGCGGCTGAGTGCCCTCTGCTCAGCATGAGGAGATCCTTCGACCGTTTTTCGTCCCATTTTAGCCACATAAGTTTCGTATTGCTGCAAGTGTTTAGCCCACCTGTCACTTGCTAGTTTAATATATCCATAGAATGAGCTTGCAGGTAGTGAGCGTCATGCCTAAACTTTTAAAGACTGCGAAAGTGGAGCAGATGGGTCCTCTTCTGCAAGTTCGTCTGCCTTTTGTTGCCTGGTATTCTGGTGCCCCGGCATCCATATTAAGTGAAGGGAAGTTTGCTCAGTCATCTCGTTAGAGATCTGCAACAGCCCGTTACGGTTTTGGAACTGCATGTGACGTCATGTCAAGAGCTTTGAGTGCGGCCTGACTAATGTATGGCAGCGACTAATATTTCCATCCCCAGTTGGGCTTTCACCCAGAATCTGTGGAAATTTTCCACTCGCAACCACCGCAAGACCTTGGAGCCTTGTAGAGATTCTATTAAGGTATACTCCTTTATCGCTCAGGATTTCTCAATATGCGATACGATTTCGTGCAGCGCTGTTTCGGTAGACTTCCCCATCATATAGGCAAGTGCCTGGGAAGGGATTCAATCAGTCTCTCCACTATCTTGAGCAAAAATTTTTTGACTTTAGTACGAGATTTTCTTCCCGCCTTGGGGATGAAGACAACCCTTGACCTTTTCCAGACCTCCAGAAAGTAGTTAAGAGGTCTCCCTTAAAAATAGCATACAGAAATTCTGAGCTTAACTCCAAAGATGGCTGTAGCTGAATCGGCAAAACACCATCTGTACCCGCAGATTTTTAGGGCTTCAAGGACCCTATTGCCCACATTGGTTTTTCTTTGGTGAGCAGATCTGCTGTAACTGGCTGACCTTTATCTCTGATTGGCTCGTTCATTGGCTGCTCAGTGATGACTGGAAAGTGCGTGCGCTAAAGATGGTCGAGGGATTCCTCCCCAGTGTCCGTCCACGCTCCGTCGGATCTTAGCAGGCATCCGGGGCGATGCGAGGGGAACTGGAGAGAACCTTCCTGAGCTTTATAGCTGAAATACAATGCCGGCGAACGGCGAACGGCGAACGACGAACTCACCACAGCGAAACTCGTGCAGTCAAAATTAGAACACCCGCATGCATATGAAATTGACCACAGCCAAAGCGAAATGCGAAGTTCGCTCGGCGGCGATTCGTGGCGATAGATTTATTTCTTTCGCTCTGCTGGGCGATGGCAGGTGTACGTGCCAAAGATGGCCGTATTTCTTTTTTTTAGAAGAAAACAACATAAACATGAATTATTTTTGTTGTTTGAAAAGTACAGTTGTGGATTCGTTAAAACTGGCTTGAAATTAAATAATTTATAATAATGTCTCTTTATTTTATATTCATATTTGTTATCATTTCCTCATTTCTAAATATGGTTTAGTTTTTTCTAACCGAATTATAAAGGCGACTAAATGGTATCAGCTGTTTTCGCTACCACTCTAATTCTGTTTAAGTAAGCGAAGCTGGGCGAACGGAGGACGACAGAATCGCCCAATTCGGCGAAGTTTGCCGTTCGCCGGTATTGTATTTCAAGCATTAAGTGCCTCAAAGTTTCAAATAGGCAAATGTTTTATTTGAAAGCGTTTTGTAGGCTATTGACAAAGAGGTATGTTCCCGTTAAAAAAAATTAAAAAAAATTTGCTTACTTAATTAAAAAAAAAAAAATCGCAAAAAAATACAAGCAACTCGAAATTAAATAAAAATGGATTGTTTTTTCCATATTTATATTTAACATATCGCTAGCTAAGAGTAAAAAGTTGCAAAGTCCACAAAGTATGTAAGTCTCTTATTTTGAGTTATAGTTTTTTTAGTAAATGTACATATCGTCGTTTAAAGTACAAAACTGTGTATCGTCATTCTGCAAAACCGCGTAAGTGACATTTGCTGCCAAAAATTGGATTTGCTCACACAAGCTCTTGGCTCAATCCTTATCCATTCGTCCTGAAATATACTAGCCAGAAATGCGATTGCTTTATAAAAAAGAGAATCATTTTGAAATGTGAGTTATTTTACTATCTAGAAAATAATTTATGCAACCTCACATACGCGGTTTTGCATTTTGTTGATACGCGGTTTTGTAGTTTAAACGACGATATGCATATTTATGTATCATTATTACAATTTCCTTGAAATACAAACATTAATTCGCATTCATTTAAAGTTAAATCTAAAAAGATTGAGCTATATTATTTAAATTTTTTAATTAATTTGCTGAAGTTTTCTAGGAAAATATTTCTTAATGTTAAGGGAACAGACTTTGACTTCGCAACCACACAGCTGATTGCTTTGAGAGCGTTCTAAGTTGCTTTTGGCCAAACAAGCTTTTATAGTTAATCAAAGCAAACTAGATGTTTTTAAATTATTAGGTCATTAGGGAGCCATCTACCGAGTTTTTTACAATGAGTAATTTCGAAAGAAAATGAAATGGGGCCTTTAGATATTAAGGTAACTATATGTAATACTAATTGCATACATACATATGAGTGTGTGTATGCGTACTATGTACATATGTATGTACTTCAAATTTGGATTGTAGCTTTAAGAGCGTTTTTATCTCAAGTCCAATTTTCGCTAAGGTGAATAAATTTTTCCCTGTTATTGCAAGTGCAAGTGACGTCAAATTTAAATTTTGAATTATAAACTGTTCTTGGTTCGAACCTAGTGAATTTCTTCATTTTGTGCGCGAAACTAAGGCAGTTCAATTCCTGAAAGGAGACAAGGTTGATCCTTATTTTAATTGATAATCTTCGTAATTTTAATTAACTAACGTTGAATGACTTTGCTGGCTTAAACGCGTTAGCAATATACTGCTGGAACAATTGGCAGATGTATTTGTCTGGTTGCTCAAGACCGAGCTATGGGAAACGCAATGCAGGTTTAGTAAGTCCGAATGAAAGCTAGAATTTTTTTGTAGTAATCACAAAATCACCTTCGGAATAGGATAAGGCGTTGGGCTCTCAGTCTGATTACGGAACTCATCGATAACCATAGACGACTTACACACATCATTCTCCCACATACCCTTCTGTATCTGTCCAGTGCGCATATGGTAGAAAGTTCCCTCGCCATTTTTAAATGCTCTTGCAAAGTGTCCTTCATAGAGATTACCATTTTCTATAAATAAAATTAAAAAATCGCAAAAGCTTCCATTTCACCCTTCTTATAATAAGTACTATCTACTCACCATAAAAGAATACGCCCACTCCATGTTTCACATCCGCTTCCCATTCGCCCATGTAAATTGAGCCATTGGTATACCACATTACTCCCAGCCCGTGCCGCCTATTCTTTTCCCACCATCCATAGTAGATGCCATCATGAAAAAATTGCTTGCCCTCCCCCCACTTCATGTCGTCTCGCCATTCACCCACATAAATGCGCTCGGCAGTGCCATTTGGCAAGCGGTTTCGCATAGTTCCGTAGCCGTGACGCTTGCCATACCGCCACTGGCCATCATAGATAAGATGCTTTTGTGTCTCTTTAATTCCATAGCGATGATGCTGGCTTCGAAGCCAGTAGCTTTTGTAGGTGCCTCCAGGCGGATAGAAAAATGTTGCTCTCACGCCTGTACTCTCGGCTTTAATGTGGTTCTTAGGTTCGCAGGTTAGCACACAGCCGTCGCGAAATTTATCTAGTACATTACATTGAGCCATTATTGAATGTTTGCTTAACTAATTCACATACTAGAAAAGTTGAATTCAAAAAATAAAAAATTAAATATTTTGAAGTTTGTAAATAGTGTTTTGAGCAGGCACTTGCTATTAATAATAACACTGTAGGTAAATTTTAAAGTTTTGAAATATCACAGCTAAACGACCAAACACGTAAACTTAATTTTGGCCTCTAGATTACGATGGCGTTTTCAGAAAATCCGTATCACGTCAAAATTTTGAGATATTTAGGGGGGAAGTTTTAGAGTTCCGAAAGTGAATTTTTCGTCGTTTAAAACACTGTGCTCAGGTTTTGAATTTTTTTCTGGGCAAAGGTTTTGATAACTGATCTTACTTAACTGGGATCTTCTAAATTCAATGGCGTCCTCCGTTTTTCCAGATTGGCTCTAGTTTTCGAGATAACGGTGCTTGAAAATCTGCTTAAATTTTATGTTTTTTGTTAATAATTACATCAGTTTTAAGGTTATTTTACTAAAATTTTGCACGTGACTGTATTTTGATATTACCTTAGCTAAATCATGGAAATCGGTTTACTATAACATATAGCTCCCATACAACTGATTGTTCAGATATGTGGTTTTGCGTTACAACTCATATTTTATTTCGTAATATTTTTTTATAATATTAGTTTGTATACTATTTGACCTAAATTTGGGTTCTTTTCAATCCCGTTTTGGCATATTTTGCTAGCTTCTATTGCTCGAATGATTTTTTTAATATCATTTGCCTCCTGCGATCGACCAGCAAAAGTCCGCCAACATTGAATTCAATCGTTTTCCAGCGAATCGGTCCTCAAAACACATAATGGATTGGTGAAATCTCTCTCCTACCTCGTCGGTTTCTGTTGAAAGCTGTTGCTCGTGAAAGTCAAAGTGACTGTGTAGCATGTGGATTTTAAGCGGCATGTGCACATCAAAGGCGTCAAAAGATTCCATCAAGTTCGCAATAAAAATGGCATATTCTGGTGAACGATTTTTACACAGAACGTGTTTAATTAAAGCCCGAACTGCATCCCATGCAACGGCTGCTGTACCATCAAGAATTTCCAAGAAGCCTTGATCCTTCATTAATCTTCTGATATCCGGCCCAGTAAGCACACCTGAAATAAAAATTATAGGGTTCTTAAAGCAAAAGAGAGATATAATAAAATATATGAGCGAAAATCTCTCAAATGGGCCACCCAAAATTGGACGGTCAAGATATTTTCGCACAAATCACTTTATTCGGTTTACAACCACTTGAGAGATTTTCACTCATATACAATCAAAAAACTACCTTCACGGATTTTTTCAACGGAAAGTTTTGGAAAGGCATTCTTTTTCAAATATAGGAATGCAGTTTCGTTGACTCTAACCAACTGTTTGATTTAGTTCTTAACAACACCAAGTTTGATATGTAAATCGGGAAGCATGATTTTATTAAGCGCTATCAAGGGTTCGTTACCTATATTGAATTGACCAATCGATTGTTCCTTTCTTTTTGGCCAATCACATTTGGTATAGTGATTGCATTTGGCTCTACTATCCCAATGACAGAACAAACAACAGTATTTAGTGTAGTCCGTTTGCATGCCTGATAGTAGTGAGAGAACTTTAAAATCACAGTTCACGCGCCACCTGTGCTCTTCGTACTTGATGCAATCTAAGATTAATTGCATTGTTTCGTATGATTCCTTTATTCCAACCGCATACAAGATGGGAACGGGTTTTTTGCTACTATCGCAATAGAGCAAGACTGCTTTCAAACTTCGCTTTGATGCGTCAATAAAGAGACGCCATTGTTCGGGTTTATAGTCAGTAATTCCCATTTCATTCATCAAACCTGCAACATCAATGCATAAGCCTGAGTGCCATCTTACGATAACTTGAAATATGACATAAACGGATCTTGTCTATGTTTGTAGGCCGTTACTTTTACTCCTGGTGCTAAGACATTCACGCTTTTCAGTTCTGATGTCAAAATCATTGCGTTGTTATGGGAGAGATTTGATTTACGCACCATGCTGTTTAGGTGTTCTTGGGATATGAAAGACGGTAAATTGTTTTCAATCGGAATGTAATCAGATCCATCATCAAGTGGTAATGGCGTTGCCATTGACTGTTTGCAATCATAGACAGTTTCGAGTTCGGATGGATGATTTGGAACTTGTAATGCATCACTATGTGCAACAGGTAAATGAGCACTCGGTACACCTTTGTAGACGACACAAGACCGATCTATTGAATTAAATATTTTTGAGTATATGTACGTACATATATATGCATATATCGATGGCTGAGTGGAAGATCGACCTATCTCAGCTGCCGATTTAAAAACGCCCTATCTCAGCACATATTCAATGTATTTTGAGAGGCGTTCTTCAACAAAATTGTGAAATAGGATGTTTTTCAATAAAATTCTGAAATAGTGCGTTCTTCAATCAAATTCTGAAGTAGGGCGTTGTTGAAAAGTTTTCTGAGATAGGGCGTTTTCGAACTGGCTGCCGAGATAGGTAGATCTTCCACTCAGCCATCGATATACAAATGTTAAGTTTGTTTGTTCGGCGGACAAAATCTAAAAAAGTTCTGCACCATTTTTTTTTAATTGTGCATCTGCTGCAGGCTTTCCAAGGTTGGTTATACTTAGGCGTGGTACCTTCCAAACATACAGAAACTTTTACCTATTTCATACACTCAGTGATTAAGGTGAGGGCAAACTATACATAATTTCATGGTTTTATTTAAATTTACTTACTTTTTCGATTGAAACCAAATGTATTGTTGGTGCATGCATAACAATTTTCAGCTTCGTGTTTTCCGGGATTTGTCCAAATCATTGGTAAACCGAATGGTAACGGAAATCGTTTTTTTGTCCACCAAAAATTCATCGCACTAATTCACGAATTACATGTGAATTCGGGAGTGTATTTATTTTGTGCAGGTTCAGATTGCACAAAGTACCATTTATAGCATGCTAGTGCATTTTTATTTGAGAATAATTTACGTTGGTCTGATTTCAAAACGAATTTACCACAAACGAAACAAAACTTGTTGAATTTATTGCAAAGCTTTTTAATTTTTTTCATCTTAAGGAGTTTCCGAAGACAATGATATGATGAATAAAAGTTTTTCACAAAATTTTCGATGTTTTTTATCAATTAATTTGACAGTAATCCCGCGCGTAGATTTTCGGTTTCTGTTTTTTGGTTCCCAACTTATGTGAAATAGACGCGGTATAGACCGCCGCCTATTTGAAAGCATTACTCAGTCACTTTGCCTTTAACGAACAACAGCTTTCACAGTACAAAAAAGGTATTAAAAAGCCATTCGTACAACAGAAACTGCAAAAATATGCCAGAGTGGGATTGAAAAGAACCCAAATTCAGGTCCAAGCAGTGTATAAACTACTATTATAAAAAATATTAAGAAATAAAATATGAGTTGTAACGCAAAACCACATATCTGAACAATCAGTTGTATGGGAGCTATATGTTATAGTGAATTGAATTGAAAATATCAAAATACAGTGACGTGCAAAATTTTAGTAAAATAACCTTAAAACTGAGGTAATTATTAACAAAAAACTTAAAATTTAAGCAGATTTTCAAGCACCGTTATCTCGAAAACTAGAGCCAATCTGGAAAAACGGAGGACGCCATTGAATTTAGACTATCCCAGTTAAGTAAGATCAGTTGCCCGGAAAAATTTTTAAACCTGAGCACAGTGTTTTTAACGACGAAAAATTCACTTTCAGAACTCTAAAACTTCCCCCCTAAATATCTCAAAATTTTTACGTGATACGGATTTTCTGAAAACGCCATCGTAATCTAGAGGCCAAAATTAAGTTTACGTATTTGGTCGTTTAGCTGTGATATTTTTGCCTCCCTACTGTGTAATAGATTGGGACTTCCAGAATATGTTAGTGAGGGGCCGAAATTCTCCTTCGATTTATGGCGAGCGCCTTGATGTTGTCCACACAAAAGGGGAGGGACCTACAGTTTTACACCGACTGCGAGCGGCGCACAGTGTTCGGATGAGCCATGCTTTACGCGGAAAATTAGAAGGGCTGGTACGAATGTCTGTGAAGTTGGCATACGGTATGACGCAAAATGGAAAAAAAAGTTGTTCTGAGCAGCCTTCCAATAGTTCTAGAGTTCTTGAAAAGGGGAAAAAAAGTTCTGGATATTTTCACAAAAAAAAATTGATTTGAAAAGTGGGTATGCCAGATTCACGCAGCATACGACATGTGGCAAAAAGGCAAATAAAAAGTTGTTCTGAGCAGCTTTTCAATAGTTCTAGAGTTCCTGAGAAGGAGAACGAAAGTTCTGCAAAATTACGCCGAAAAAGCACTATTTTCGAAAAAGTCGAAAAAGTTATATTTTTGAAAAAAATAAAAACTTTAATCTGTTCTGAGTAGCTCTTCAATAGTTCTAGAGTTCCTGAGAAGGAGAAAGAAAGTTCTGCAAAATTACGCCGAAAAAACACTTTTTTCGAAAACGTCGAAAAGGTTAAATTTTTGAAAAAAATAAATAATTAAATCTGTTCTGAGTAGCTTTTAAATAAATCTAGAGTTCCTGGGAAGGAGAAAGAAAGTTCTGCAAAACTACGCCGGAAAACATTTTTTTCCAAAAAGTGGAAAAAGTAAAATTTTTGAAAAAAATAAAAAAAACTAAATCTGTTCTGAGTAGCTCTTCAATAGTTCTAGAGTTCCTGAGAAGGAGAAAGAAAAAATGCCCTGATATTGTGCCTTGGATTTCCATTTTATTCGCATTTGCAAATTTTATGCTTGCCAAATATTGCTACATACGTTATGGATTCACAGGCAGCTAAAATTTAAAACATTGCATGATCTTGCATTTGCATATTTCGGTGCACACCAATAAAATTGTAAACGCTTGCCATGGTAGCAAGCATAAAATTTGCAAATGCGAATAAAATGGAAATCCAAGGCACAATATCAGGACATTTTTTCTTTCTCCTTCTCAGGAACTCTAGAACTATTGA